TGCAGAGTTTCAATTCTAAGAGTAAAGGTACCCGAATTGTCCTTGTTGATGCCCCCTTGGGCTGTCAAACCCTCAATCCTAGTCTACTACAGACTTAAGCGGATCGAGTTCAATTCGAGGGGACACATTTCCCTTTGCCTGACACGGAGAATAAATTCTCACAAAGACATAGAGTATATGAACCCCAAAAGCTACTTACTAGGTCTGACACGAAGAATAAATTCTCACGAAGACGTCGCTTTCACTCCCACTTAAAAGGGACAAGCTTGATTATAAAGCTTATGTTATGCAATTTACGTATTGTTTGTGAGGAGAAATATTCAAACCTCTGACGAACAAATAAATAATGAAATTTAATACATAAAAATAAAATAAAGATATTAATAAAAAAGAATATATAAAAATATTATGAAAATCATAAGTAATAAAAATTTTGAAAGAAAAGAATTATAAATTAAATAAATATGAATTTTTAATATCTAATTGATAGAGACAATTTATAATTGATTTTAAAGATTGACCGGTCCCCAGTGGAGTCGCCAAGTTGTCGTAACCGGTTTTCGCCTGGGCACGAATTTTTACTTGGCGGGAAAATTTAAAATGAATGATTTTGGATTAAAAAATATTTTGGGAGTCGCCATTGACCTTTTTGGGTTAGGTATGTCAAATACCTAAAAACAATCTTTTAAAATAGTTTTTAAGAAAACATAATTTAAAAGATAAACTGATCTGCGTATAACCAAAAAATTTTAATAAAAAAGGATTCGTGGTCGGTTTACGTTTAGGGAAGGATTAACACCCCTATAACACCCAAAATTAGTACTCATTAATTATAAATTGTCTCTATTATTGAAAATTTAAGAATTCAAAAATATATACTTAATTCATAATTCTATTATTTCAAATTTATTAGTATAATTTTAAGAAAATATTTATATTTTTATAAATAAGATATTTATTTACTTGAAAATATCAAAAAAAGGACTTCTAAGTGCTTTAATACAACTCTTTTCTTAATATTAAAAAATAAATTAATATTAATAAAACATTTCTCTAAAAATAATTAATATATAATTTATAAAAATAGGATATTTGTTTATTAAGATAATCAGAAAAGGACTTCTAGGTGATTTAAGACAACTCTTTTCTTAATATTAAAAAATACATATTAAAATATGATTATTTTTCCTAAAAGTAATTTATATAAAATTAAATTTATAAATAGGATTTTTATTTAATATAAAAAAATAAGTAAATAAATATTATTTATTATATATATTTATATGACTACATAATAATAATAACAATAATAATTAAATATATAAATATATAAATTTAAAATATAAATAAATAATGACTAAAATAAAATTAAAACTATAGTATTAAAAAAGTAAAAAAACTTGTAAAATAAATGAAAGTATTAAAATTAATGACTAAATTATAACATATTAAAATTAAATACCCTAATTCTTAATTAGCTATATAAATTTTCAGTGGCTAAACATGTTATTTTACCTATGTTTAATTTAGTTACTAAAATAAACATATATTAAATTCGAACCTCAAATTAAAATAAATTAAAACATGTATTTCGGGATTAAAATATTAATTAATAAAGTTACAAGGGCTAAATTGGTTATTTGTCTAAAATATATATATTTTATGATAAGGACTAAATTATAAATTAAATAAAATTCACTGACCGAATTAAAATAATTATAATTTGAATTCAGTGACTAAAATATAAATGTTTACAAACATGTGATGGTAGCACATATGATTTACCCATTTTTCTGAAATTACAGATACACCCCTCCCCAAAACGACGTCGTTTGGGAAATTGTATAATTATCCTAAAATGACCAGCCTTAAGGTCATTTCTTTCATTTTTTTTCCTTTATTCTTCTCTCTCTAACTGAGAGAGAATTTTTTTTCTCTCTGCCTTCTCTCTAAACCCTCCACCGGAGGGAGTTTGATATCCGGCCGGTTGCCGTGCTCCGGTATTTTCAGTATTTCCCCCTAAAAATCCTCGTAATTTCCTAAAACTCTGGCCGGTCGAATCCCTGTGCTCCGGGAGTTTGATATCCGGCCGGCCGAATCCGGGATCTATTTCCCCTAAAAATCCCCGCAATTTCCTAGATCTAAGAAAATACCTTCGGTATTTTCAGTTCTTTAGTGACGTTTGGGGTTCTCCGGTAAGGTAAGCTCATCTTATTCTCTCCTTTTACTTTCCTTTGGTTTTGTTGCTTGCTGTTGGTGTCCGTATTTTTTTTTGTTCTCTCTTTTCTGTCGTGGTCATTTGCTGGCAGGGCATCGGTGGCTTTTATAGCCACCACCGGTGATGGCTTTTATAGCCACCACCGGTGATGGCTTCAGACCGGATAATAGGGCAAAGTTTGGTGAGTCACCAAACTGTAGTGGTGACTCACCGTAGGCCTCAACGTGGACGATCGGCGTTGAAGCTTCTGGAGGCCTTAGAGAACGTCGTGGCAGCAGCTGGATCGATGTAGAGCGGCGACAACAGAGGCGGCGGCCGCGTGTCCCTAGGGTTATGATACCCTAGGGTTTGTTGGTGGAAGGCTCTGGACCGTTGGATCTCATCAGATCCAACGATGTCTGATGGATGGCGGCTGAGAATGAGTTTTAAACCCTAAACGAGTTTAGGGTATTATTTAGGCCAGTCTGGGTGTAAAACGGGCCTTCGGGTATTGGGCTTTTGTAATTGGGTCGGTCTATTTGGGCCTATAATAGTATTATTAATATTATTAATAATAATAAAAATAAGTAATATAATAAAAATTAAAAATAATAGTAATAAATAAATATAATAATGATAATAATAATAATAATAATAAAAATAATAAAAAACAAATGGATAAAAAAATTAGTATCTTCAGCTTGGTTCGTATCCGATTCGATTAGTTTAATAATAGTTAAATAATTTTTTTTTTAAAATACTAAATTAAAAAAAAAAAGTTCTCAAAAATTAATTTAGCTGGTTGAAACTACTAAATTCTTACTTAATTTTGGATTGTTTGATGATTTATATATGATCGCAGAATTTCTAATTTTATCTTATTGGTTCATGATTCAATTGATCCAATCGACCAGTTCGATTCTAACAACCATGTTGCTCGCTACAATTCACAAACAATGTATTATTTAATCGAACATAATATTCATATTAATGTTTTAGTGATATAATACCTTAAATTTTTTATTCATTTCAAAATCTATCTTATACCCAAAACCTTAACTAATTTTACTCGTATAAGAATCACATTATACCCTTATATCCTCTCGAACTGATTTTTTTATTAAGTAAAATGGTGTCGTATTTTTAAGGTAAATATTAAGATTTAAATCTATACAAGATGAGATAATATGAACATTCTTGACCACTCGACCAATTAATAGATCTCTCACCCATGCAACTTTTAAGAGTCCACAATAATATTTATACTGAAATTAATAGTTATATTTTTTACACAAATAGGGCCGTTAATTTTATTAAAATGAAAAAAAATATTTGAAATTACAATAAAGTTAAAAAACTAAACACATAATTAGAGTATTTTTTTATAATCATTGATAAAATAGACTAGACACTTGAGATCATTTAAGGATCATAAAAGAAAAAAGTTAAAACTCATCCAAGAAACTCGAAGTAAAGACATATATGAATAAATCTGACTGTATTAAAAAATGAACCACAACAAGGATTAAACTACTGAAAGACCACAAACAATCGCGAATCATAATTGAGCGTCGTGAGAAAACTATCTACGAGAGGACTGGGGCTTAATTTCACTAATTTCAAAATTGTCATGTCCTAAAAAGTAATTAAACCAAAAAAAGTATGTTAGAAATATATTGTAATTAGTTAGTTTGTTATTAGATTGTTAATCTGTTGGGCCGTTTCTAATTAGGTTGGTATGGGTTATATGTACCCATTAATGTAATAGGCTTTCAAACCTTTTTTAATAAACTTCTTTTCATAATAATAATTCCACGTTTCTATTGTTTACTATAGCCATCTAACCCTAGCGCCACTCTTCCATTTTTAACTTGTTTTGCATGTCTGGTCACCGCCATTCATCTATTCCAGCACCATGTTGGAATTCTCACAAAATACCACGAAGGATGAAGAAAATATGTCATAAAAGTAAAAAAAATCGTATTGTAAAAGCGGAATTATTATGAATAAAAAAACATAAAAAATAAATATACATATAAAAATATATATAAGAAACAAGAAATACAGTCGTTCAGTGACCAATATCAAATTTGATGTCCCTGTCTATCAAACTAATACGAAAAAGAAAAGAACAACGGCCGGCCGAGAGAAAAAAAACACTAAGATTTTTTAGAGAATGAATTTAACTACATTCTTATTCTTTTTTATACGATAGGACGAAATCAATAGTTATAAATAACTATATAAAATATGAATATATATAATATAACATAAATACGACATTTATTTATAAACATATTAAATGTTATAGATGTCACAAGTATCTATTAAGCCATGCAAAAAGCGTCGAAGAAATATGAATATTATCGATGATTATGAATGATGAATGATACATTTGATGATGGCAATGCCAAGATGTGCCTTGAAAGCATTTAATCACGTAGAACGAGGTTAAACAAAAATAATATTAATAACGATCTTTTAAGTATGTGATTAAAAATTCTTAGTTAATATTTTTTATTTAATTATGTGTTTAATACTCATTAGTAGTAAAATCTTTCTTTTCACTCCTATTCTCTTTAAATTGTTTAAAAAATTAAAAATAATATTTTAATTCAAATTTAAAATAAAAAAGTCGATACAATTTAATATATATAATCTTTATGTAAATTAGAATTTAACAGGTAAATTTGAATTTTATTAAACAAGTTAATTAATAAATATCAAATACAAGTCTCAAATCAATGAAAATATTAAAAAAATATTTTTTGGATTTAAATTAATTCTACAAATTCTTATACTATTAATCTCTGTGTGATTGACTAAACCTTTCATCGTTGTTTTCCTCATGGGAGTCCGGGGAAGCAGGCAGGTTAAGGTCAAAGTCAAAGCTGACACGGTGGCGTTTGTTCAAGGCACCGCCACTGTCCGACAGCGTCACCCCACTAACGCTGCCGCTCTTGTTACCGTTATTGTTGTTGATGTTGCCACCGCCTTCGTAATGGCAGCGTTTGTGCCCGCCCAAGGCTTGGCCTGTAGGGAAAGTCTTGCGGCAGACACCACACTCATGAACCCTCCCGCTATATCTGACAGAGGCGGTAGATGGGTTGTCACCGTCGGTGGAGGCGGGTTTACGGTGGCTGGCTTTATGGCCACCCAGAGCTTGGTAAGAAGGGAAACCCTTGCTGCAGACACTGCACTTGTGAGGCAACTTCGAAGAAGGCGAAACGGATTCCACCACCGATGACGACAGAACAACACGGCCACCACCACCTTCGTTGGAGCCGCTAGCCAAGGTGATGAGACAGAGAGCAAGGCGTTCTTCTTCTTCTTCGGACGGCGGTGGAGAATCGCTGATTGGTCGTTTAGGAGAAGCTGTGGGGTTGTTACACGAGACGTCGTCGTATTTATTGCTTGAAGGTGTAGCCATTGTAGCAGAAATCAAAGCTTCAAGTGCTATAATTCTTTATACTATTTAAAATTTAAAATTCAGTCAATTTTTTTATTTATTAGAAAAAAGATTGATGGAAGGAAATTAGCGAAGAAAAGAAATTAAGAAAGTGACGTCGTTTTGGAGAGAGTGAGTGAGAAATAGTTTGTATGTAATGAGGTTTATAACTTTGTAAATAAAGAGGAGTCGGGTTGAGTCCGTCAAGGTCAAATAGACGGAGTTATGTAAGACTCAAGATTTAATGTTAATAGTAACTAAGGGTAAATTATAAATTGCATAATTTAACTTTCTTCCCACTCTAATTTTAGTCTATTTATTTACTAAACTTTTGATTTATTTACATGAAATCCATGTGTCATCCTTTGACGTCTTCTTCGATTACTTAAGATATCAACGAACTTGCCTCATTGTCTCCTATCACTCTATTAGTTTAGATTTTACCTAAATCACTTTAAAACTCATAAAACTTAATCTAAACTCTAAACTCATAAAACCCCAAACTATTTTTTATCTATAATATCCAATATCAAATCAATGTGAAATCAAGATATACAACTACTTTCCTCATACACCTTCTCACTATTGGGTTTTTGGAGGAAGATGTTTCATCATCGATAAATCAAAGGAAATTCAAAACTAAACATTTTTCATAAAACAAAAAATGTTTCGGGGTTATTTCATGATTTTTAAAAGAAAAATATCTAGTCATAATACCTTTAATTGAGAAATCAAAGGGAATTCAAAACTCAATATTTTTCATAAAGAAAAAAATATTTCAGGGGCGTTTGGATGGGGGAATGTGAGATTCCCCCGGGAATGGAATCCACATTCCCCCGTTTGGTTTGGCCGGGAATGTCATTCCCGGTAATGTTTTATTACCAATAGTGGATTTTTTGGGGTATATTACCGGGAATGTCATTACCTCCATTCCCTTAGGTATTGTAACATTACCAACATTTTGGACTAAAATGCCCTTAATTTTTTATTTTTTTTCAAAAATATCATTCTTATGTCATTGAATAATAAAAATTCTACTAAGGTTAAATTATAAATTTATCCTTAAATTATTTTAGATTTACAAAAAAAAGTCTATAATTAAAATTTTATATGAAGTTCAGGGGTTAAAATAAAATTTTACCATTTTATTAAACCTTTTTTATATTTTTAATTTTGTAAAAAAAAGTATATAAATATTTTGAATTTAATTTTTTAAAGAAAATATATAAATATTTTTCAACTTGTAATATTATACAAATATATAATAAGGACAATTTGGTCAAATATATATTCCAATAATCTTTTATTCCTTTATCCAAACACGATAATCTTACATTTCTGCTAAACCAACCAAACACAAAATACAACATCCCCAGTAATCCTATTCCCTAGTAATCTTTTATTCCCACTGATAATCTTACATTCCGTGAACCAAACGCACCCGGGGTTATTTCATGATTTTTAAAAGAAAAATGTCTAGTCATAGTACCTTTAAGTATTTAGAGTGACGAAGATAGGATCAAATCAAATGTTCAGCGAATAAATTAAAAAATATTAAATTTTAATACCCATAATAAGAGCGAGAATAAAGTTGAGTGATGAAATTTGTAATTTATCTTCATAATAAAAATTAAAACATTTTTAACGGTTCTTTAATTCATTTAATGAGTGACTTCTTCAAAGTCAAAGCAATGGTCCACGCGTGGTACTGTGCTATTGAAACCGCTCACAATTTGGAAAGGGTAAAACGAACCCGTTAGATTTGAGTTGAGTCCATGTCAACCGCGACTCACCTGGTCAAAATCTCATCTACTCTCCTTCGAAACCAAATTCTACGCGTTTTATTAAATCTTCATATACTAATAATAGTACTTATAAGTCAATTTCATATCCATTTAATCTAAACTGGGTTATTTATGAATTTATTAAGGGGCTACAATGATTAAAAATTCTGAACAGATATTACTTTTACAATTATTGTAGATTTTTTTATAAAAAAATTTAGTTGTTGATCATAAATTGTTTAATATAGAAATAATCATTTCAATAATGGTCCTTTCATTAGACGAATATAAATGTTAATAAGTCAAATCATTTTCTTTCTCAAATAATTTTATTTCATATATATTATATTATTTAAAATAATATTTATTCTAATTATTTCATTGGTAAATATGAATGTTTTTTTTATAAAAAATCTGAGTTTGTGTAATTATATCTATAGAGTATGTGTCTCTTAGGTGTGTGTTTGTTTTGGTAATTGAGCCATTCAATTATTAGTGGTTAGGGTAGAGAAAAAACTCAATTAGACAAAAACAAATTTATTAGTTTTCTTCAATTTTTAGTTGTTTGAGTCAATTTGAATTTTGAGCATGAATTTTAAAAGTTTGAGTAACAAAAAACTGAAAATAAAACGATATCGTTTCGGTTTTTAGCTTAATAATTTGACTATTTTCTGTTTTGGTCCTGATTTATTTGTTTCTTCAATTTTTCCTTCCTTTTAAGTCAATATTTGACTAAATCTGAACCATATGCTCTTACACTATTTTAGATTACTTATGTATATGAAATTCTTTATTTTTCAATTTAGTCTCTCAAGTTTGCATGATTTCGTTATTTCTACAATTCTTTTCTCATTTTAAGTACATTTTAACCGAATTTGAAGCACATGATCCTAATACCAATGAGACTTCAATTCTTATTTTTAAACAAAAAAATTATGATTTTTACAATTTAATCCCTCAATTTTATAATTTATACAATTTGACCTTTCCTCTATAATTTTTTACAAATTCTTTTTACTATAAATTCTTTGACACTATTATACTCCCATCGATATTTTGTCCTAAATCTATTCTCTAAAAAATGACATTGTGAATATATTCTATAATTTTAGATGATATTTATTTTATTAAATAATGTTACAATGTGAAAAAGAATATGAAGAAAGATAAATGTATATCTTATATGATTAGAGAAAGTTGTTTAACTTGGAAATAATCATAACATAATATTATAAATAATTACAATTACATTTGAATAAAAATTCAAACAACTTAACTAAAAACAATTACAAATAAAGTGTGAATGACAAAATAGGACTAACAAACTTGACTAACTTAAATTTTTTTTGACTCGATTCAATCAAATATTCACCCATATTAACAATATAATGGCATGTTCATTATCAATCTCGTTTTATATTAAAAGTCATTAACTCCTTTGATCGTCATCTCCACCCATAAAAGTGAAAACCGTTGTGCTGCCTACCCTTTGTTCACTTCATGCCATACGAATGATTTGGCAATACATTCTATTTGTAATGCCTACGTATTTTCGTATCGTTATCGTACGAGTACGTAGTCATATAAATTTTGATAATGATTCATGGTATATAAGATTTTGACATATTTGTACGCATCATGCAAATTTTCTTCAAACGGATATGCAACTTTCTACGCACTTCATCCTATTTTCTCTTCAAAGGCACCCTTCATTGAGTGCACACTCATATATTTCCGGACGTGTCCCCTTCTTGACAAGATAATTAAACCCTATATATCTAGAAGTATTATGTTAATTTTGGATAACAACGTCTTTAAACCTTTTTAATAGTTTGAGGTGATTACATGTTAGTGTATGTTCATAATTTTCATTTAGCCATTAAGAACGCACACATATACTGTAGACACAATAACTTGAACCCGAAACCTTTAGGGAGAACAACACTCCCTTTTACCACTGAAATTGTTTGATGAGTTTCGAAATTTCAATTAATTAAATTCTTTAACCATTGGTAATCCAAATACTAAACTAAGTATTGCATTGCCCCAACTAATTTAGGACTATAAGATGTAACACTATTTAGTGGTCCATATGTGTCGGATGCCATGGAGAGTTAATGATTTTGTTTTGTCTAAGCATCGAAGTATCATTAGCTTCACTTGTCATTTACTTCCTAAACAGGGGAAAGCATGTTATTCCTCACATTGCAAGCAACCCATGTTATATAAGAAAAGCAACCAGTCAAAGAACATGTAAACTTTTATTATTAATCCTTATAATATGCATAAATTATAAATTCTATTCTTATATTTTGATCCGATCACTTTTAGTTTCTAATTAGGTAGAAAATTTAGTAGTCGTTCTTTTCAAAATTTAAAATTTTAGTTATGATCTAATTGATGACCGTTAAATCAAACTCCGTACCAATTGGATTAGGACGAAAATTCAAAATTTGAAAACTGAAAGAACTGAAATTGATGAAATCAGAATATAGGAACTAAAAATATAGTTTGTGCATAATGCAATAATTTTAAGGCTCAATCCCTAAATTCAACATTATTTCTTGGATGGCAATCCTTGATAGACTACCAACTAGAGAGAGGCTTTCTCGAATGGGAATTACCACTGTAGATTCTTGTGTATTATGCAATGACTACGTTGAATCGAGAAACCACTTGTTTGCTGATTGTACAACAGCAACAACCTTATGGAAAGCAATTTTAAGGCTCAATCACCTAACCAAGCCTCCTATGTCATGGGATAGTATGCTTGCATGGGCTATTACTGCTTGGAAAGATAAATCTCTTCTAACTTCCATCATGAAGATTGCTTGGTGTACTTTCATTTACACAGTTTGGGAGGAAAGAAACAGAAGAATTTTTCAGGGGAGAGCTCGAACAGTTGAAGAGATGTTAAGCTCCATAAAGGAGATTGTTGGTGCTCAGCTTAGCAATAGAAACCTTAATAGACTTGATAGTGTTAACTCTCTTCTTTGTATCAATTGGGGTATAGGCTAACCAATTTTTTGTTGTAAATAGCTTTTCTTTGATTCTTGATTGGGATGTTTTGTATTGAACTCTTCCATGGATAATAAAATTTTATTTATAAAAAAATAATATTACTAGAGTTTTAAATGTTTTATTTGATGTTAGTATGAATTCATCATACTTTAAATAAAAGGAATGGATAGACGACAAAAATGTTATAGCTAATGGGGCATTAATGTTATAATTTTTATTTAATGGCCATGCGATTCATAATATGTTTTATTTGTTTTCCCCCTAAGAATAACGCTGTATGACATTATTATTATTACATGTATATTTATATAATCTTATTAGGCTGCAAAGTTGTATATAAATACGTGTATGCAAGCAGCTATGTAGCACAAGAGAAGCGAATCAAAAACGCAAGTTTAGTTGAGCTAACAACAAATTGCTGCTCCTACTACACCCACAACCGTCCAGCTCTTAAATGATTCCGGCGACACTTTAATGTTGGTTTCGTCGACCTATGAAGGCGTTCCTAGCGTGATTAAGAGTGGTGCATCGCCCTCTGAATTCCCGCAGGATACAGAGCTCAATGTTATCGCATCTGTTGTGTACGCTATCGGAAATATAGCCACGCTGGTCGTTGTTTGGACGGTTAATAACGAAGTAAATATTATCTCACTTGGTAATTGTATTATTATTTTATGTAACAATTGATTCTTTGTTTAATTATCTTGTTTTATTTTGTAGCATATATAATAATTAGCTCATTTATCAATGACAGGTGGCTGCCTCGATCCTTCCTGCTGGTACCAGTATTATTTGGAAAGATATCTGGAACAAACTTCAACGCGACTTCTCCATTGATTCGTACTGCACCAGCTACGGTTGGCAATACAATTCAACGTTAGAAATCAAATCAGATGGTGATGCTCAAACCTTAAGTGTCATACTATTCTACTCTTAACCGGTTCCAAATTAAGCTAGCCTTGTTGTGCTTTATTACTCTTCTAGGCAATATGTGGTGCGATGGTGAGGCTGTCAAAACTAAATAAAATACAACTTGTTTACACCGTGCACTACTACTATTTGAATAAATTTGACGGCCAATAATAAAGGATTGCCACTAGCTCTAGCGGTTCAATTATGTGTGTTTAGTTTGTCTCTTTAACTTGTAATAATTTCAATTAATAATACTTTAAAAATATAAGCATGTATCTCTTAACTTCAGTAACATCGAGTCGTCATTCCAAGCAATCCTAGAAAAAATCTAAAATTGTATTAAAAACGGATATATTGAATTTATGATTTTACGATTTACCGTCCTTGTAATCTAAAATTGTATTAGGTTTTTGGTCAACCCGACTCGATCAGAAAAATATATATCCTCCATTTGAATTTGATTTGATCCGAAATATATATACTTTTCATCCGATCTGACTTGACTCGAAAATATATATTCTCTACCCGAACTCGACCAGACTTAAAATTTTAAAGTATAAATTCAATATGATCCTACTCAACATAATATAAAATAAAGATCTAATTAAAAAATCTATAGAGATGGGTATTATAACAATTATCCATATATATATAAAAGAAATTACAATATTACCCATGGGTCGGGTCGGAGGTATTTCACCCTCCATTCGAACCATACCCAATCGGACCTCACCTATATATAAAATCTTATCTGACTAAAACCAAATCCGAATTCTTTCAAAAAAATCCAACCCTAATAAATTGGATAAGCAATTATCCACGCGCGCTAACACACATATATATAAAAGAAATTACAATATTACCCATGGGTCGGGTTGGAGGTATTTCACCCTCCATCCGAACCCGACCCAATCTAACCTCGCCTATATATATAAAATCTTATATGACTTGAACCAAATCTGAATTCTTTCAAAAAATCCAACCCTATTAAATTGGATCAACAATTATCCACACACATATACATAAAAGAAATTACAATATTACCCATGGGTCGGGTCGGAAAGAAAATTGCAATGGTAATGGAAAAATGATCCCTGACTATAAGACGTTACATCATTAAAATTTGAAATCTGAAAGAGCTGAAATTGATGAAATCAGAATATAGGAACTAAAACTATAGTTTGTGCATAATGCAGGGACTGATGACTGAATTTGATCCCCAAAAAAGATACGACCATTTAAGAGTTGTGTGCAGGAAGGACACGTGAGCAATGTGATGTTCTCATACAATAGGGTAAATGGAATCCCTACTTGTGCTGATCCAGACCTTCTTAAAGGAATAGTTAGAGGCCAATGGGGTCTTGATGGGTATATTTTTATTTGTTCATACTCGAAAAAACCGATCATTTTCGGTTTTCGGCAATCGAAATTTTTGCTTCGTTTTTGGAAAATACATTGTTTCAGACTGTGACTCAGTTGAGGTTTATTATAATGCCATCCATTACACTGCTACACCTGAAGATGCAGTGGCCCTTGCTTTGAAAGCAGGTTTAAACATGAATTATGGGGATTATTTGGGGAAATACACAGTGAATGCAGTCAAATGGAAGAAAGTAGATGAATCTTTTGTTGACCAGGCTTTAATTTATAACTATATAGTTCTTATGAGGATCAGTTTCTTCGATGGAAACCCAAAACAGCTTTCATTTGGTGACCTTGGTCCGTCCTATGTATGCACAAATGATCATCAGCGGTTAGCCCTTGATGCTGCCAAGCAGGGGATAGTTTTACTCGACAACAACGGAGATCTTCCTCTGTCTAAAGCCGTCACAAAAAGTTTAGCCGTCATCAGACCAAATGCTAATGCCACAAAGGTTATGATAAGTAACTATGCCGGTATACCTTGCCGGTACACTAGCCCTTTACAGGGGCTGCAAAAGTATGTATCAACGGTTATGTATCAGGCAGGGTGTAGTGATGTGAAATGCAGTAGCAATACACTTATTAAGCCTACAGAAAATTCCGATGATGTGGTGCTATTTGAGGGATTGGATCAATCGATCGAGGCTGAGGGGCTCGATCGAGTAAACTTGACATTGCCTGGATATCAAGAGAAGTTGGTGACTGATGTTGCTAAAGAAGCAAAAGGAAAAGTGGTGCTTGTGGTTATGGCTGCTGGCCCGATTGATATATCATTTGCAATGAATATGAGAAACATTGGTGGCATCCTTTGTAATATCCCAAAATCAAGGTTAGTGACTAAATTGAAAATTTTGAAACTTTGAGGTATGATTTTAAAAGATTGAAAAGTTCATGGACTTATTTGAAAATATTTTGTGAAGAGTTGTTGGTAATTTTTAAATGAAGTAAAGTGTAAAATGGTCAATTGGCAAAGAAAGATTTTTATTTCCCCCTTTTAAGGGAGTGACCCACGTGGAAGTGAAGAGGAGACAAGGTTTCAGTTTCCAGAGTTCTCTTCTTCTCCATCGTGGCCATGAGCTCCAAGCAAAGGTAAGTTTTCCAAATGGTTAATTTCTTGTTTATTTGGTTATGATTATTAGATTATATTTAAGCTTAAAGAAAGCTAAAGGTAACTTTAAATCAAAAGATTAAGGAGTTAGGAGTTAGGAGAGATTAAAGATTTGGAGTTTTTGAATGAAAACTTGGAATAGAGTTGATAAGTAGAATTGGAAGCCAAATTTGACTTGTCATCAACCTAATTAAGAGATATGAAGTGATAGAATTTAATCTAGATCATGTTAAAATTTGAGTACGATTCTTGAATGTTATGTGGGGGATTGGATTTTTAAGTTAAAGAGGTATTGAATGGAGATTAATTAGTTTAAGTATGTGTAAGTAAGTTAAGGATATGAAAGGGATTGAATATAACACAATTGAGCTAGAATGAAGTGATTTTCGTGCTCAAATGTGATTTTCTGGGCTAGGGGTATCGGTACCCATTCAACAGGTACCGATACCTCAAGAGCAAATTCAGGAAGATATTCAAAGGGTACCGATACCCTAAGGAGTGTATCAATACCCCCCTTGAAATGAAAAATATTGAATGTAATTTGGGTATCGATACCTAGGGAGTGTATCGATATACCAGTTAAGGGATGTACCGATACCCTATAGAGTGTATCGATACATACGTTAAACAAGAAATGAAATTAGCCTTTCCTTTAGTATAGGAAATGAAAAATTAGAATATGTCATGTGGAATACTGATATGTAGCAATGTAGGATTATGTAGTTATTGAACTTAACCCTATTCTAGAACAATTAAAGAATTAGAAACGATCGAGAGAGAGAAAGTGCTAGAATCAAGCAAGGCTAAGGTGTGTGCATATTAGATAGTATATGACATTTAATGGAAATAAGACTTGCGACAAGTCTATGTCCTATAGTAGTATGCATGAATTCATAAACATGAGCATGCGTTTGTTATGAGTGTATAAGTTATATGTTATTATATGCGTGACATTATTTGTATGAATATATGTTAGTGTGATAAGATATAGGAACCAATATAAGTGACATATATATATATATATATATATATATATATATATATATATATATGTTTACATAAGTTATATGATATTGACATAATGAATGATATGAATATGTGATATATGAACATAAGAGATTAAGTGAATGAGCATAGATGATATACATGATGTTCTAAGAATAATATATGAATCATATGATATGGGTTATATGGGAAATATATGTGAACAAGATATGATATATATGTTTATGTGAAACCATGCAAAGTGATATGAGCTATGTGATATGAATATATGGAATATGATACAAAGTTATGTGATTATATGATCACAAGAGATAAGAAACATGTGAAAGTGAACTATATGATTATATGAATATGGGAAATGATATAAAAGAGAATGCCCATGTTATGTGAAATGAGAGCTAGAGGTATAGTTCGCATGCCAAGAGTCGAGGGTTTCATAGGTCCTTCAAGACATATACATAGGTCCTTCAGGACATACATAGGTCATTGAGGATAAATTTCACATGCCGCTGAGTGGATCTTTATACGAGTTGTGGTGACAATATAGGTGCACAACTTCAAAGTACTCACATACCTTAAGTTCTCAGAAATATGCATGGGCTAAATTAGAGATAATATAAATAAACTTGGCAAGATTATATGTGGGTGATTATTTGGATATGAGTTTGTAAATTACATGTATTGCATATGTTATATTATCTATGTGAAAATATGTTTGTATGATATGGTATAAGTGATTACATAAGAAATATTGTGAGATCTATAGGTATATGTATAGGTAATGAGGTGGTTAACTATATGATTGTACGAATAGAACAATAATTATGATTGTACTATAGGAATATACTTTGTAGGGGAATTAATTTAAAATAATTATATGAGAAAATGAGAATTTAGATAAAATGAATAGTATATCAACTAGGAAACATATACAAAAATAAGTATAAGAATATCTTGGATAAGCTGTATAGAAAGGTCTATATGTTTAAATGAAACTAGGATCGAAGACATGTTAAATTATTAGGTAATATAAAATATAGTTCAAGGATCTAGGAAATCATATGAAAAGATGATATGAATTAGATAAAAATATGCAATGAAAATATATGGGTTATATGATAAATAAGAACATATAAAAATAAGAAATAAGATATGTGACTTGTGATAGAAATTATAGGATCAGGAATTATATAGATAGAATGATTTAGATGATAACAAGAGAATGTAATATAATTTAAGTGGTGTACATATAAATGATTATGGGAACATGAAATAGTATATGATAATATATGATATGATGATATTAAATGATGCTAAAATGTAAATGATGATATATGTGTATGTATGTATGTATGTATTTATTTATATGAAATATTATATGAGTTGTATGATATTATTTTATGAATATTCCTGCATTTTTAGGAGTCAGAATTTATATTATAAGTGTTATATGCCTCACTAAGTCATAGACTTAGCGTGTGAGTGTTTCACTCGTAGGTTGAGAGAAGATTGAGGAGCAAAGAGGAGCAAGACATGTCAGCTTCTCCTTTTCAAATATTAGATCAGAAAAGTCTGTTATGTATTTATTATATGAAATGTAGTTGACATGTAAGATAAACGA